CGGAGTACTTACTATGGGTCAAGTCCATTAGATCATCCAAATCCTCATGGTTTATTTTTATCTATTTTGTGGAGCCTCACAAAGGTCTTGAGTAGCTTGTCTAGCGTCTCACAGAGAAGAGGGAGAGCCTGGGTTTAAATCCAGAGCTACACTGTGACCACTACAATCTGTTCTCCCTCAACATGTACTATTTCATTATGTCCAAGATGCTGAACAACAAGGCTTCCAGCCCCTGTGGCTCCCTTCCCTTGCATCTGTGCCCATGAAAAGTTTTCAGTCCCTCTGTCCCTCTTCCTTCCCTGCTAGTGCGCTGCCTACCACTCTGTCTCCCCAGTCTGGCTGCAGGGCAGATTTTGTTCCAACCCGTTGTCCAAAGGGCCCATGGGGTCTCTTGTAATTGCACCCCACCCCCAAGTTGTTTTATTTGGTAAAAACAAACTCTGTTTTGGGAATTTGTGTTTGGAGATGAAACTTTTTAAGCCCTGTCTTTTCATCACCATCTCTCCAAACCTCGATTCTTGAAGAACATGGTGGTATAGAGATTGTGTAAAAAAGTAATTTAGATAGGGAGTCTTCCAGCCCGAGAGCAAGGATTCCAGGTTCTGTTCCTGGCTCTGCCACGGACTGCTAAGCCTCTCTGACTCCCAGTCTCATTTTCTCTCTCTGCATTAGTTGAGAATGAAAGGGCTGTCCAAGGGACAAGATGGAGAGGAAAGAGATGATGTCCAAAGATATCCTTGCATTTCTGAGAACGAAAGAAAAAAAACTTCCCTATGAAGTTAAACAAAATAATGCATGTAAAGCATTTAAGCTATTGCCTGGCACACGTTAGGTGCTGAGTAGCTCAGGCAGATGGAGCGTGCAGGGGCTGGGGCACCCGCAGTCTCAGGGCTGGCTGTGGCAGGGCGTGGCTGTCAGAAGAGTGCTTCCCTGATTTTGCCTGCAGGGTACGACTGGTGACATGCCACAGCTCTCAGGAAAGTGACCTACTTGGGTTTTTCTGTATGGACACAGGATTGCAAGAAATTCTCATTTGCATAGAGATGGGGAGTTTATTTTTACTAGAAGCTGCATGTCAAGACTGAGAAGAAAGAGGCATTTCTTAATAATCATTAATCAACTGTATCTGAAAAGAAAAAGAAATCAACTCAGGAAATGAGATGCTAAGGAAATGAGGGGGAAAACAATCTCCCCCTACATGGACCCACCCAGTGAGCCTTGACAGCATTTCCTTGTATCCACCTGCATAAAAGTGACCAGCCCTCTACAAGTGGCAAGGAACACAAAGAGCGGAGACACAGGAGAAGCCCAGGAGCACCCCGTGAGAGGTCGTCCTTCCTCAGAGGATTTGTTCATCAACCATCCCAGCCCTCGTCCTTTACAGCTGCAGAGAGGTGACCTGCTGTCACTGTGGGTGGCCTATTATATCCCAAGTGCTGGGCATTTTGTAGAATGGGGAGGGGTATTCTGTATAGAGGCTGAACTTTCCAGTACCTTATTCTCAATAAGAAACAGGAAGAGTGGGAAAGGAGGAAGGAAGAAAGGGAAGGGGAAGGAATCTATTTTTTTTAGAAATATGATGATTTTATTTTTTATTTTATTTTATTTTTTAAATCTTATTGAAGTATAGTTGATTTACAATGTTGTGTTAATTTCTGCTGTACAGCAAAGTGATTCATTTATACATATTCTTTTTCACATGCTTTTCCATTATGACTTATCACAGTATATTGAATATGGTTCCCTGTGCTATACAGTAGGGACTTGTTGTTTATCCATCCTATATATAAGTTTGCATTTGCTAGTCCCAAACTCCCAGTCCTTCCCTCCTCTCTCCCCTTCCCCCTTGGCAACCACAAGTCAGTTCTCTATGTCTGTGAGTCTGTTTCTCTTTCGTGTATATGTTCAATTGTGTCATATTTTAGATTCCACATGTAAGTGATATCATATGGTATTTGTCTTTCTCTTTCTAACTACTTCACTAAGTATGATAATTTCTAGGTGAAAGTATGTTACTGCAAATGACATAATTTCATTCTTTTTTATGGCTGAGTAATATTCCACTGTATATATGTACCACATCTTCTTTATCCATTCATCTGTTGATGGACATTTAGGTTGCTTCCATGTCTTGGCTATTGTGAATAGTGCTGCTATGAACATAGGGGTGCATGTATCTTTTTGAATTATAGTTTTGTCTGGATATATGCCCAAGAGTGGGATTGCTGGATCATATGGCAACTCTATATTTAGTTTTTTGAGGAACCTCCATACTGTTTTCCATAGCTGCTGCACCAATTTACATTCCCATCAACAGTGTTGGAGGGTTCAAGGGAAAGGAATCTAGCGTTTACTATAAACTTTTTGTTCTAGGAACTGTGCTGGGCACTTTAGAATATGTGTATTTTTAATCCTTTGGAGTATTAAATATCTTTTTAAACATAAGGAACACCACTGGTTCAGTGGGATCCGATCAGAAATGTGTTCCTTTTTGTCTGCTGTAAGGAAATCTGCTGGATCTCCAGTTGCGATCCCAGGAGGAACAGACCTGTAGGTGGGGGTGGTGCAGTGGTAAGGGGAACAGGCCACCTGCCTTCAAATCCTGGCTCTGCCACTTGTTGGCCATGTACCTTGGGCAGGTTTCTCCACCTTGCTAAGTGTCAGTTCCCTCTTTGGTAAAATGGGGATAGAAACAGAACCTGCCACATAGGATGGTTGTGAGCATTAAATAAGATAATTGTGGAAAATACTTGGCATGGAGCTCCAGGCACGTGGCACGTATGATAAACGTTAGCTACTACTGTTACCTGAATCAGCCGAGATGTCTGGAGTCGCCTCACCAAACTAAGGGGGACCTCTTTTTTCTCCACATCTTTCTCCTGTGAGGCTCCCAGCAGGGGATGAACCGGCAATGCCCCACTGCTTCTGAGAGTTGTCAGAAGAAAAACGGTGCCCCCTTTTAGTCACTTGGCTCTCTAGAAGCACCTTATTTGCCTTTCGAGGGGATAGAGCTCTGGGGGACTCTATAGTCTCGCCTGTCAATGGGGTCTATTTTCCTGTTTTGTCAGAAAGAGGTTGGAAAAAGAGAAATCAAGTTCTTTAACATAATGCCTGCTCTACAGTGAGGTCTCAACCTACACCTGGCCCTCACTGAGAATGATGCTGAGTTAAGGAGAGAGAAGGAGAAATGGTTTTCTAAGCAGGGTTTGCTGTTTCTCAGAGAAGAGTCTGGGATTCCCGAGGATGATCGGGGTGGGGGAAGGGGAGCGGGGACAGGTGTGGCTCATGCTCTCACACGTGTGTGCCTAGAGCAGCTGTAACTATAGTTAGGAGTGGGGGCGTCCACAGCCCCCTCAGCTGGCTTCCTATGCTTGCTGCCTCCCTCTCTTCCACTGCTGCACCCACTACGTTTATGCAGCACAGGCCTGGCTGGGAATGAGTGCTCAGTCTGCACGTGGAGGAGGCTGGGCAGAGCTTGGTCTATTCCCATGGGTTGCCCTCTGACTTACCTTTAACGCTCAGCTCTGTTTGTGAAACATGCTAGTACTGGAGAAAGTCAGAGAAGGAGAACTCAGCAGGCTGTGCAGTTATGCTTTGGGCACTTTTCTCAAGGTGTGTTACACGACACTATTGAAAGCCGTCCAATGAAAAGAGGCAGAGAGAAAGGCAGGAGGGGCGCGAGAACTAGAAGAGGCAGCAGGCATCTCAGGTCTGGCCCTGCCTAGAGGCTAGCGAGCTGCAAACCTGTCCCTGGTGCCTGCTGGCTCAGTGTGTGATGGAGGGGAAGCCGCCACCTTGCCATCTGGGGGTCTCTCTCTTCACTGTGGCTAATTAGTTATTAGATGCCCCGCACCTCCCTTTCCCATCTTCTCCAGAAGGTGACATCTTCACAGCTGACTTCAAAGGAATGATTTTAAGCAGATACACAGTAGGGGTTTATAACAAAAGGGTGTCGCCTATTTGGGGGGCAAACATAAAAACCAAATGTGCTTACAGCTCTATTTACAATAGCCAGGACATGGAAGAAACCTAAGTGTCCATCAACAGATGAATGGATAAAGAAGATGCAGCACATATATACAATGGAATATTACTCAGCCATAAAAAGAAATGAAATTGAGTTATTTGTAGTGAGGTAGATGGGCCTAGAGTCTGTCATACAGAGTGAAGTAAGACAGAAAGAGAAAAACCAATACCGTATGCTAACACATATATATGGAATATATATATATATATATATATATATATATATATATGTCATGAAGAACCTAGGGGCAGGATGGGAATAAAGACGCAGACCTACTAGAGAATGAACTTGATGTGGGGAAGGGGAAGGGTAAGCTGGGACGAAGTGAGAGTGGCATGGACATATATACACTACCAAACGTAAAATAGCTAGTGGGAAGCAGCCGCATGGCACAGGGAGATCAGCTCGGTGCTTTGTGACCACCTAGAGGGGTGGGATAGGA